TGCACATGAATGGACCTTCATCATATTCTCACTTTCCATGGAAATACAAGCATGAAGTAGCTGGTAATACGAATTAGATTTTTAAAATTATTTCTTGACAGGAATTATCAACCAACAAATCTTATCTTCATTTACCATTCATTTTTCTTTGAAAAGATATAAAGCTAAGATATAACATAAGTCCAATAAACGTTTCTAGTATTAAGTTCAACGGCATTGTTGTTAGTCTTGACGTGACCGTTATTTAACGTCCATATCAATCCATCCTCCTCGAAAGATCATCACAGGATTACTTATTTCAATATGTTGAAAGCTTTACACGTACCGTTGATTTCAATATGTTTCATATTCTCATATTAAAATGCCTTGACTTTCTATTTCTTACATGCGCGACTAGGATCACTCATAATAAATCATTTTAAGGAGTTTCCTGCATATTGTTGTTAAATGTGTGAAAGGTAGTTTTCACTCTTGCAAGTTTATTTCCACTTATTTTTAAATAGTTTACAATCTTGCCAGTGTCTAAGACAACCTGTTAGTTTTCTTTGCACACAACTTGAAAAGTTTATCATCTGCTATCATAAGTGATCTTAAGTCAAAAGATATATATAAATCCATTTCCTTTCTATAAATTGCCATATACATGTATTTCTGATGGATTTGGATGAATCATTTGTAGTTGAGGGTCTTGACAGTAGCTTTCGTGTAACAAACATTCCCCTGAAAACACAACTTAAATGTGGGATCTGTGGAATAATTTGACTCCAAGTTTAGTCATCTGTACTAAAAACGTATCTTTTGGAGGCGTTTTGATTTTTTTACATTTCTTGATTGGAGATTAGTTTTCAAGTCCTCCTTCTTGTCTTGAAACTTTTACTGTTTTTGTAATATCATTTGCTTTTAAAGTCCTTTTTTTATTTTTTTCATTTTTTTTCAGTCTTTGGAGTATGATTTTAATGTTTATGTTATTGTTGTCAAACTGAGAAATTGTTATTTTAAGCTTTTGTTCTTATGTCATAATTGTGAACAATAGTGTTTCCGATTTTTTTAAAGAGAAATGGGACAATTAAGACAACTGAATTCTTCCATTTTGCCTGTCAATAAACATATAAATACGTTAAATGATAAATGTTCTCTCCATTAAATCTTTTAAAATACTCACAAGTCAGGGTACAGATAAAATTCGTAAACTCACAAGTAGGGTTCACAATCACCAGCAAGTAACGTTCAGTTTACGAAATTGACCTCCTTGGTTAAACTCTTAAAGGTTCAAAATACATCAATATTTTTTGCAGATGACTAAATTATCGTTTGTTATTGATTATTTTAGTAGTTCGATATCACAATTCAATGCTTAACTAAATAAACCTTGAAATAAGACAGAGTTTTGTTCGTGTTCAGTGTTGATCACATGAAAGCAGTTCGTGAGTTTCGATTATTTTATAGCTTTTATGCTAACATGTATATTTTGCATAACTTAAACGTTTAATAAAGTTCTTTTCTACGATATAAATAAAGATTTACTAACCTAACGTCCATAGGTATCAATATAAATACCTATATATTAAATAAGTCAAGCGTCAGAAAATGGTTGACACTGACATCTTCTCACAAGATCCGGTTGGGGTTCAAATCGTTTATATACTGTGGTAATGGGATAAGTCCTTGTAAATTTAATAGCAGTTAATCAGTTATTGTACAAAGGAGACAATTTGTCAAAAAAGGAAGCTGGAACAGTCAAATTAGGAATTCAGCAAAATATAAGTGCTAAAATGTATTGTTTTTCTGTATGATGTTAAAATGTTATTGTCTGAATTTATTTATGTGTATAAATGTTAAAGAGGGCTTGAATCTGATGGAAAGTAAATTGTGATAAGTTTTTGTTGTTGTTTCTTTTGTATATTTATCCAACTGAAGTCTCCTGATGAATTCGAAACACCTACATAAATGCAAAATAAGCAAACTTGTAAAATTGATAGACCTTTTATATAATACAATTCACTCTATTGAAGCCACTTAGTATAATGATGTACCTCAGAATAGGATTTGGTGTCTTTCACTTATTATGACAAGAAGTCCATAAAATTGCCTTTCTTGAGGGTCCTGTAAGAATCATTTCTTTGGTAAAGATCACCAAAGTGGTTTAGGAGATATATAAATAAACTTATACTGTTTTACATAATAATAATAAGTACCCTTCATTATAGAGATTTGTGTGCTGGTGCCTTCTAAATACATACCTTTTGCTAATGTTTGAGGTGATTGGGTCATGGTGAAGGTCACCAACACTTGTGATCTTCTTTAAAGCAGCAGTTTCAATAAAAGGTTTCCACTGCATTAAAATGGAATAACTAAAATCAGTTCTTTCCTTATTTTTTCAGTCACTTTTCACCAATTGAGTTCTGGTGGCAAGAAGACTCCCCCCAAGACTCACAACCTGTACATGTAATGCAGTCTCCCAACCTTTTACGATTGGCTGTTTAATTCTAATTCTTGAAGCCATTACTATGCTAAATATCTTAAACTGACTTGTCCATCTGTCATTCTGGACAAAACCATTCATCATTTTTAATTTTTTTTTTAAAAACATAGAGAATGGATGTACCAGCTGACCACTGTATGCACAGGTAGAATCTGTTGTTATCAGCAGGGTAAGAGATAACAAGAGAGGTTGGACATGTCCAGAAATAGATGATAAATAGACACTAGTTATCGTCCGGAAACTTTGACGTCGATCGACCAACCAACCGACCGACAAGCTGACTCCTATATACCCCCCCTAAACTTGGTTTGTAGTGGTATAATTATCTGGAACTTGGCAATCAGGGGTACAAACTTTTACCTTTACAGCTATAAGGTGTATTGTAACTATTCACAAGTGATCAGCAAGTTGTCCTTATTTTCAATATATTTACTAAAGTTTTCTTTGTAAAAAGGTTGTTTATACCCTGTGATAAGATGGGAAAAATTCAACTTTCCCGAGTTCTGAGTACATGTAAATTGTATCTTAAGTCATCAGTATAAGGGGTCACAAATGGATCATGTTCAAAAACAAGACAATAAATGTACAATTATTAATCTTTATTCAGTTAAAATAAGTCTTAATTACATATGTTCACTAAACTGAATAATTACGTTTCAAAAAACAACAGTCAATTCAGAGAAGAAAAAAAAATACAACTTAAAATGCCTTATTGTATTTATGAATAAACAGAACACCATACAGGTGCTATATGACTAAGTAAATACTAAGAAAAACATATCACCCTGTCTACATTGACTTCTGGTCAGTGCTTAACATGGTTACTGTCAAAATAAGGGAAAATACGTAAACGTTTTCACTTCTGGTCAGTGCTTAACACAGTTACTGTCAGAAATAAGGGAAAAATACGTAAACGTTTTGACTTCTGGTTGGTGCATAACACAGTTACTGTCAGAAATAAGGGAAAAAATACGTAAATGTTTTGCTTTCTGGTCGGTGCTTAACACAGTTACTGTCAAAATAAGGGAAAAAATACGTAAACGTTTTGACTTCTTGTCAGTGCTTAACACGGTTACTGTCAGAACTTAACATGGTTACTGTCAGAATGAAGGAAAAATACATAAACCTTTCCCTTATTTTAAAATTTACATTTATATACCTTGTTCTAAACAATTTAAATACAAGTACATATCCAATTATCTGTCAGTAAAATGCAATCATATTAACATATAAATGTTAATTATTCATTAATAGTATTATTATTAGAAATAGTAAACTGCTTTGTTACATACATATAAACATGTACTGTATATAAAGAAATGTTTATATAATTTAGTAGATTTCTTTTATCAATTATGGCTGAAATGAAATTTGCATTATTAAAGTTTTTAAATTCGATGTTATAGTTGGAGTGATATGGCCTTTTAGTCAGCAGTTATTACACTTTCGATGATAAATTAAAATATCATATTATATCCTATAAATAGGCTATACCGAAGTATTTTACAGAACGTGTTAGGATTAAATATAAAAAAAAACAAGATCCTCTGGTTGACTATTGTTAAATATTATTGATTTTCATTGTTTAAATACATTAAAATATTAAACTCTTTTTTTTTCACTGCCATGTCCTTAATGATCAAATTTCTTAGCATATAAATTTTTGAACTGTGATACTTATAACCTCAAAATAAACGTTAAAAAAATGCATTGTTTATTTTGTTAAAATAAATGGTTTATTAATAATCAAAGTAAAACACCTTTTTATCATTGTTTTTAAACGTCTTAATAATACACAGTATACCATACATGAAAAAAAAGAAGAAAAAAATTCATAATTTTAACCAAAAACAATTTCTGTTATGTACATATTTATCAACCTGACATAATACAATGTACGATAAAAAAAACATTTAGCACACAGAGTTAATTATCTGTCCTTGTTATATGTAAGAAAACTTTTTTTTTTCAAAAAGAACACTGTCCTTGTTATATGTAAGAAAAACTTTTTTTTTTACAAAAAGAACAAACTTATTTCTACATATTTAAATAGGGTAAATTTTCTTGCTTATAATATATGTTTAACAATTAAAATAATATGATGTAAAATTAATATAACACAATTAATGGGAGTAAAAAACACAAAAAACAAGGTGACTCATTTATAAGGGAAGCATAACTGATCACCAAGTTTTTAGTATTTTAACTTTACATGCATTTTTTGATAAAAAAAATAATATATGACCATAAAATTCTTAAATCTAAAATTAAAGTGACCATTTTACATATTCATCAAGAAAATGTAAAATTTCCATTTTTCACTTGCCAAAAGATTTTCCTTTAACATTCCTTGTTTCTTTGTAAATCATTTTTCCCTGATATGAATCAAATTAAATCTAAAAAAAATTCTTGAAAAAAAAAAAAAAAAAATAAGTAAAAGAAAATATACATATAAAAATAAAATCCCTGTTTTTGGAAACAACTTCTTGGCAAAAATTAGGAAGAATATTTATTATAAATAAAAAAGCTGTTTTCAGAGTCTTCACTGTTTTCTGGCAAAGCTGTACTAAATTCAGTGATGTATAAACATATTAATGAAAACATGTAAACGTAAACATGTAAATGACTTATGAAAACATTTCGTTATGTTAACATTTTGGTATAAACATGTATAATATAAGCACATTGCTCAATGTGCAAGCCTTTTATCTATTTATACAAAATAAGCACCTTCAAACTACAGTGCCACTTATGTATGTCTTCTAAGATAATAAATAGATTCCTAAATCTCCATATATTTCCATGATTTTGCATAATTACAGGAACTTCTTTAGGCAATACCTCACACCCTATCACAAACATCAGTAAATACCCTCTTATTTATGTCACGATCTTGACGGAAAATGTTTTTCATGTATGTAAATTTAGAAATCTATTTTCTCAAAGCCATTACTTATATTCATTATTGTTCACATAGGCAAAACAAATTTTATCGAACATAGTAAAGGAAGCATTTATCCGTAATCAATTATACACAGTACTGGTATCCCTTGACATTTCTTATCCTTCATGAAAACTTTTAATCCAAATCATAACATTTTGAATATTTCTAAATACGCTTTTTTCCCTAAAAATAGAATGACATATTTCTCTAAATATTTTTTGGTTCTACATTTAGAATTTATATGGATTTAAAATCAAAACCTTTTTTTCTTTTCTTTCTTTGACAGCTGTTAAAATGCAGGAACAAATGTTGACTTTATTATATCAGTAAAGGCGGCCTCTTTTACGAAGCTTATATAAATTCGCCTGTAAGACATGTCAGCTATTAGTCGGGGGTACTAAGTTAACTCTAAAACAATAGTTAAGAAATTTCCTTGCATCCATGTACTGTTTCAAAATGGCACAATTTAGATATGTAAAAATACTATTTTCAACATCTCACATATATATGAATCTAAAAAAATGGCCATTAATTTTAAGTGAGTATAAAAAATGGTTATTAAAAGAAAGATTTAAAACAATAAACGTGATGAAATTCAATGATTAAAAGAAAACAAAATTAATTTAATGTTGGTGCTTGGCAGAGAAAAGAAAGTGCTTTACTAGAAAGAGTAAGGACTGCTTTTTTCCCCAAATTTCTCTCCTGAACCAGTGCCAGATGTGATGATCAGATCATCTGGTCATAATCGAAATGAAAATCAGATTTAATGGGGAAAAAATATAAAGTCAATTTTTCATAAAAAGACCTATAAATGAGAACTTGTCTGTTCATTTTCCGTATGAAACAGCTAACAAATAAATCATAATGATACTGAGGTATTATAAATCAGAACTGACAAAATAAATATACAAATACTGGCTTGTATATAAAGTAAAATGAGCTGGTGATATCTTATTGCTTGTACTCTAGGGGAAAAAAAAATTCAACAAAAATATCTTCAGATCTGAAAAAAAGGCGAAAAATAAAATCTATGATGCCAAATTTACAAAACGTGTCAAATTCCACTGACTAATTAATTAATAATCAATGAGAAAGGGAATTTGACATCCATGGTAATGCTGCTGACAGTGATGGAGAAAAAAAAATTAGAAAATATTTCATGACAAAGCTAAATGATAAAATATTAACTTATAGGCAGTATTAATCAATGAACAATGTAAGTTTGATTCATTTTTAAATGCAGTATTTAAAACCCTAAAATAGATTCTTAAACAAAAACTATTTCCTTAAATAAAAAAAATCAAATCAAATTGTCCTCAAAAATTTACTATCGTCCATATAATTAAATTGTAAAAATACACAATATCAAAATCTAACATTCATGTAAATAAAATGTACAAACACTCATTCATGCTTTAAGCATCATTATTATTTAAAGAACAACACAGAATATTTACTACAGACACAATATCTTACACTATAAAAATTCCAATGCTTCTCAACCTAATTGAATAGTTCGTTAAAACAATATATTAAAACTATGCATTTCCTGCTTAAAAATTTTCAACCAAATTTGCCAGGAATGTTGGTGTCTTTTTTTTTTGCCTTTTTCTCTCCCCTTGAATGAGGTGTATCTTTTATTCAAGGTGCATCTTTTTATAAATACAGCAAACACCACTTATAATGATATCACTCATAATTATTTACAGCTTATAACAAAGCTGTTGATTCAATCCCAAATCTTGTTTTCAATTTGGTCGCCTCTCGGATATAACAATACATTTTAAGATCCCATGAATATCATTATAGGCGGAGTTTACTGTACTTAATTAATTACCAATACTTCAATAAAGTATACTCAATTGGAAAGTTACAGGCCTTTTATATATTCATATTATGGTAGTAGAGAGTTTCGATATTTGAAAGCAAAAATTAAAATTTTATATATTCTTACTAAAGAAAAAAAAAGACAACCAAAATCAACACATTCCTGACCGAAAGGTTTTCACTTATTTATGCTTATAAAATCAGTACAGAAATCATTTAAATTACGAAAGACTTTCTACATACAATTATGAAATTGATTCATTACATGAAATCAACACATTTTCCCCCATACATACAGTCATGTGTTTACACAATGATCCCATATATGTCATTTCTCTGTGTAAAGGTGATCATGATACACAATGATGGACATAAACAACACTGAAATATGACAAAGATTTAAAGGGGCACCCTCTACAACAAAAAAAAAAAAAAAGATAAAAAATAATTCCCATTCTATTCCCATTACTCTAAAAAAATAAACATATTTGATTTACATTTCTTCTGAAATCTGAATTTTTTGCATCCAAGACAAGTTGGATTATTTTGCTTATGTAAAATTTTGACTTGTTTAACAGTACTTCCCCAGGATATTTTGAGGTATCCCTTAAAATCAAAATCACTGAAATATTTGGAAACCTTCAAATATAACATTTTACTCATATCAAATCAAACAGAAAATGACCAAAAAATCAGTTGGTTTAACGGTAATGTAGTTGGTCTTTAAATATCTTTTAGTGTTGGATTTAATCTAAGACAGCAGACAACCTACTAGCTACAGGCTTGCTTTTTAACTCTGTTAATAATTATGTAAATTAGAAATATGTAGGTGTGGCGTCGTTGGTAGTTTACCCTCTATCACGGCAGCAAGCCATATTGAATTTACCAGAGTACTTCAGCCACCGCATTAAAAAATTGTATCCCTTAAGATCTCTTTGTAACTCTTAAATTTATCGCAGTAATTTTTCGTTACTGTTCAATGATAAGAGTAGAAATATTAATGAATGTTTCCAACTACGTAGGACAGTTGTAAAACAAATAAAACACAATTAATTTGGTTACAGAAATTCCTGCAATACTAGACCATTTTTCCAGAGGTTATATCAATATAAATCCTTCATAATAGTAGTTATACATACATAACACTAATACAAAAAAAAAAATTTAAGCGAACGAAATACAAAATCACAATGTTTCATTCAATAATTCATCTGGCATCACATTCTACACATACTGGACACTCGTGTAAAAACTTAAAGCTGGTGTAAATCTAGCCGTTTTGCACTTTTGTTCTTAAAACTGTCTAGTTACTGTCAGTCAAGGAACTTAATTTGTCACTTAATAACTTTGCTTTCTCGATGGGGGGGTCGTAGATGCCATTTCAGTCATCATGATATAACATACGCTTTCCTCATAGTCTCTGTCTATGCTTTATGGAAATACGATGTTGCAGTTCAAAATACGTTCAACAAATGCACATTCGGAGCACATCTGTGTGCAAAATAATAATGATGTATGGTCTCTTTTCTACATATTTTATACAAAAAAATTATATATTACAGAGATTTATCACGAAAAACATTCTGTTTTTTGTTTTTTTTTGTTTAATCTATTTTTTCAATTTCACAGCTACCCAAAATTTGAATTTGGTGGAATTCACATGCTTGTGTCTTTGTGGACAAACTCTGTTACAAAACTACTTGTAGAACCATGTATATGGTTGAAATGATTAATAAAGCACTTGTTGATACGGATGATGCCCCTGAATCACCCACTTTTTCTCCCTTCTTGTTTGGCTTGTTAATGTCATATTTTGGATTATTTGGATTTTGGAAGTCAATATCGCCATCTGGTGGCTGGTTAGGTCGTAGAGGTCGACGTGTTGGGTACACGGGACGTAGAGGTCGACGTGTTGGGTACCCTGGTGATTCATCCTCATCATCAGATCCCTGTCCGGACCCAGAACCACTTTGTACAACATCATCATCATCATCACCATCATCTCTACCGTCTCCACTAGCAACCACTTTGTCACCTTTAACTTTATGTCTTCTGTTACTTCCACTGCCCTCAAGGTCATCCCCACTTGCATCAATATCTAAATACAATGACAAATACATTACTATGCTTCATTGAAATATTCATATTGAATATAATGAATTTAGTACTGAACATTTTGAAATTGTAAGGTAATTATGCTTTTAATTCAACTTTGAATTCCTCTTATATATAACAAGACAATTAGATTTTAGCAGTTGACTAATCTCACTGCTTGAGAATTTGAAAAGGGGCATAACTGTAAACTGATAACTTAAAGAGTTATGGGACCTGTGCCCATCATGTTAAATAATCGCAGAAAACATATGTGTGAAGTTTCAACCCATTCCCTTCAGTAGTTATGGAGATACCAACTCGCACACAAAAACTTGGTCAAAGTGTGATGCTAAATGGATGAGTATAAAAGCTCTCCCTAGTCTTCAAATAGTCTGGCTATCATGAGCAACCCATGTTGTAGATTAACTTCATCTGTTAAAAATTCTAAGTTAAGAAGGGGCATAACTCCAAAAAAGATTGCTTTCAGAATTATGCCCCTTGTCTTACATGATCAAAATTTCATACTGATACCTTTTGAAATGGTTGAATAATGGGCTACATTAAAGATTTTGCAAAATGACAATGCAACGATCATAATACCTCTACTTTTTCTTTTCCGAAATACATGAACTAAAAATTAATAATGTCATTAAAACAGTGCTTAAATAGGACAAAATGAGAATACTGTAAATGTTAAAATATCTCCGATACAAAAAACTGACACAAAAATACAAACATAAGTAAACATACTGTATTGATTTAATGATTTCTTTTAAGTTGATGTTGTTTTCCAATTGTTTTTGTTTTGTTTTGTTTTTTAACATGTAGAAGTAAAACAGATTAGTCAGTAGTGCAGCAGAATAATATTTCCAGGTTTTCAGGCTCAAGTTCTGGACAGGCTGCACATTTATTGACCTGTTATAATAATAACATTTTCAAAAATAATTACCAATATTAGAGGGACTCCATTCAACATCAACACCATGATAGGCATTGTGTAGCTTTGTGGTGATCAATTTCAAGTTGTAAATTTGTACAGAGATAATGCCATTGTCCTCTTGTACGTCCACGGTCACTTCTGGATTGTTCACTTGATATATACGTCCATCCTTCTGTACCTCATGTATATACCTACAAATACAACAATTGTTACTTTATGAGCTTACTTTACTAAACAAAATTTATGTGAACAAATTTTTATGTGGAAAAATTTGTTTTGACTCAATAAGTAAACCATTAGATGTACAGTACCACCTATCGCTCTTATCCCAGGCAAAGCAAATGCTCCTTTTCGCATTGATCCTTATTAAGTTATTTGGTTAATTGCTATATACAGATAGAGAAATTAGATTTACTGGTACAGAAAAATTAATAAACATTGGTGCAGAATCTCAGAATACTTTAAAAAATCTTTTTTCTTTTAAGTTAGTGTACCACTTTATCAGAGTTCTGACCTGGCACTTAACATAATCAATTTATTAATTAATCAATCAATTAACCGTCTAGTGCTCCTCCCCTGGAGTATCTCTCCCCTAAATGTTTCTAATATTTTTCTCTCCTTTGTTCCTGCATTAAATCATATTACAATACTTTCATGACATAAAGTAAGCCACCTTGTATCATCCTAATCATAAAAGCAACCTTTAGATAAATTCTTGTAACAATAGAGACAATGTGATATGCTGTCTAGACATACAAATTAACCAGACTTCATATTATCATGATTTATCCCCCTAAAATATGATTTTCTGAAACATTTTTTCACACAAAATGTAATAGAATTCCCAAGATTCCTGCTTTACTGTCTGTGAATAATCACTTACAATGTTAACTCTATATAACGGACTTAACCTGCTGTAAAACTTGAACTTTAAATTGCTATTTAAAGGGAATTCCAACGTCAATTAGAAATATGTTCATAGGACACAGATGCACCAACACTTTTTTGACAGTTTACAGATGGATAGTAGGGCATTGGGATAAACTTAACCAAAGTGTGATGCCGACTCATGAATGAGAACCATAGCTCTATACAATGCACTATCTATTGAGCTAACCTGACAGTTCACTACATGGATGTGCATGCTGGCATGGCTTAATACTGGTTCAAAATGGCTAATCAGCAAAGAAAATGGTTAAGTTAACCCTAAGATAATATCTATATTTACTTTGCTCGATCTTGACCATTCCAACAGTCCTCATCATTATCTGGCTGGTTGGCTATCTCACCATTGCATATAGAATATGGAAGCTGAACCCAGAAATTCTTTGCCACCTCAACCTATAAAAGTGCTCATAATTAGTCTTGTAAATAATGTAACATATTCAAAAGAATGAAAAAGACAATAAGTCATGTACAAGGTCACTAGTTCAGGAGACTGCAAAAAAAATAAAAAATGCTGCACTTCTTTTTTTCTGTTAAGGTACTAGTCACCCTTCAATGCAACACTAAAATTCTTCCTTTAAAGCATTTGACCCTATTAAAATAGCTTTTTTTCTTATGTTTCCATGGTAATAAAGATCATTAGAATAATAAAATTGCTCATTTTCTGACAAAAAAATTATATGTGAAGGTTAAATGCAGAAAACTCCGAATTAGAAGAAAATTTTAGTTAGTAATTTTTTTTTTATTTATCCAGTAAACAAAAAGACAAATTTTTATGAAATTTAAAAATCATGTTGCAAGCTAATTTTACAAAAGAAGTCAAACATGACCTTCTGTCATGTCAAATTTGCAAGCATGACATTCAAAAGACAAAGTAACACAAACAAAATGACATGTCATAATTTAAGGTCGATATTTTATCAAGAAAGATTTTTTTTCTCTTACCTTGTCCTTGATATCTTTAACAAGACGATCAAGGTTTGTGCCTGCAGCAGTTGCCTCCCTTTCATTACTCTGACCACCACGAGCATATGTCATAAATTCTTTACCATAAGCATAGTCTGTATACGAGGACTCGTCCCTCTTGTAGCGGCTGTTAGTGTTTCTCCGTGGCTGACCGCACCCTTTGAAAATCTGAAAATATACAAGAAAAGACGACATATGAAAATAGCAGGTCAGGTGACAAGATGACAGTCATGTAAGACTAATTATCGTGTATTCTATTTAGAAATGCTCCTTTACTGTTTTTTTTATAATAAGCCAAACAGAAGAGTTCTATCATGGCTGGGGACCCAAGAAGCTTGCACAAGCATATGAAGGCACCTGGTCAAAGCAATTTACCTTTGTAAGCCATATTATATAATTGAACTTGTTAAGACTACAGTATAACTTCGACAAAGCAACAACCTTTGAGAGACAAACATTTTCATTGTTGCTTAGAAGTGTTGCTCTACAGAGGTAAAATACAGTAAAATACAACTGTTATGTATAGTGGAATAAAGTGGAAATTTTTACTTTGGGAAGAAATCATTATATAGAGAGGTTAGCGCTCTACAATTTATAGCCATGATTCACAGGTTATACTGTACTTGTGTAGAAGAATTTCTGAATCCCGATTGGGATTTATACCTTCACATAAATCTAGCAGGTTAAAAGAAAGCTCTATGCAAAAAACCTTTTGTTCTCATCAAACATATACATGTAATTGTGGAAAAAAAAATTCATAGGTTCATAAAAGCTGAAATCTTATATATGTCTATAAACAGAAAATAAAACATTTCTATGACATTACAGAAGTACATAAAAGAAATAAGATACTGGTCATGTTCTGTACAAATCACTTGGAATAAATGACAGGGGAAAAAATCCAATCAGGATGGAAAACACAGCTATCAATAATAGTATTATAACTGACAGATATAATACAGCAGGAAAAATGACTTACAATTTGTAACTATAGACTTATACAGCATTATCTGAAATTCATTTATATATTTTCTGTCTCCAACATTTTCGAATATGTCTACAACAAAAGCCATATAATTCTGCCATAACTGAATCAATTTCTAGAAAATTGTGCCAATAAAATCCTCAAGTAATTTCTACAGTGAATCACCAAATAAGGCTTTTTACAAGTAACTTTCACCCAATCTTTGTTTCTACGTCAATTATTGCCCATTTCCTCTTGCTAAAAGCAACCAATCAATCCTAATAAAAGCAGACGGGCAAAGCAGACGGTAGAATATAACAATCTGGAATTAAATTGTTCAGGGCAATCTTCTTGGATTTTTCCATTTACTACCTGTCAAGTATACTAACTGTGGAATAAGAACTCCAATTTCATGGTGTAACAGGCAGAGGACAGTCTGATGTGGCATGTCCAACGCTTTTTTCCCTTTCTTCTGAGAAACAAAGACAATAATGACAATGGTTCAAATATAAAGGTTAATGGCCTTCTTTCCTGTAAATTTCTATAAGCGAAATTAGAGTCACACCCACGCATGACAGGTCATGTTTCGCTTAATAGTATAGAGGACTTCAGCGCACATGATGTCATACGATTTTCATATTAAACAACAGTATTTCAGTTCTATACTGAATTCTCAGTAATTACAGCTATTTTAACATGACTGTGCTCAAATCAGAGCTATAAATAACTTCTTTCACAGAGAACAGATAAATATTACATTTCATCTTGATATCAATTAATTTTCAAAACTGTATTTTTTTCTTTAAATAATTGTTAAACTTTGTCCAGACATAATAATTTCTGTGGATTTCTACGCCATTTGTGTACCAAAAAAGACCCCCACCAGACGAAAATTTACACTTTCCAAAGTATTAAATTTTAGAAAAAATATTTATTTCAAAACTTAGAGAGAGACTGGTATTTTAAATGTCAAATGTCTAGCCATTCCTTTTTAAAAAACATTTCAATTTTCTTTAAATCAACATGACCCTGTAATTTTTGATGATGTAAATAATCATATAATTTTGTGTATGAGGAATGGAAATCCTACAAATACATTTAGTTGTCAGATGCCTGTCCTACACGTACATATTAGTTGTCAGATGCCTGTCAGATTTTTAAAGCCAGCATGCTCCTTAGACTCCACTGACACTACCCATGTTTTTCCATCTGAAAAAGTTATTTCCCTTTTCCTCACTTAAATCACTCAAAACACTTTTCCAACTAATAAAGTTAACCAGTTTTACTCAAGATTTCCTTCATTTTTTTTCTTCTTCGTCTTTTTTTTTTTTTGAAACTTCATGATAACTTTTTCGCATCTGTGTAGTTTCACCACACGCATAATTTTTTGTATTTTCTGACTGACAGAACATATGTGTATCAATCAGCGGTGTTGGGAAATCGTTTCACATTGCTGCACTGTGCCATAGCATCACTGATAAACCCATTAGGTGATAACATTTAGGAAATTCCACACCTACCTTTTTTTTTTTTTTTTTTGGTTCACAAGTAGATTTATGGAAGCTGATTCTATTAACTTATATTGCTTAAGTATGATAGTCCCTTGTACATTGTACCTGCAAACTATTAAATCCAAATGTTCTCAAGTTATTGCTAACATTTTAGACCACAGATTTGCGGACACATGGGTATAATTCTCTAGAACAGTATGAACTTGGTTGCTTTTCTTTGTTTTTCTTTTTTTGCATGTTTTTCTTTTTCTTTATTCTTTTATCAATTTTAACAACAGTATTTTGGTCATATCAACTTAACCAGCTTTCCTGGATAACTAACCAGTATTTAACAATTTCTCCACAAGTGATACCAAATAAATCAGTGGTAAGAAATAAATGGCCATGAGATACAATTTCCAAGATTGAATGTAACACAATGTCTGTACTTGTGGACTTGAACAATCAGAACTGATCAATTCAATGTAAATATTTGTTTGCGCAGTTCTAGGCACTTCCTACTATTTTAGCAAGTAAAAATCATTTTAATTCATTATTTGCAATTTTATCTCGTAAAACAATTCCACTATTTCCTTATCCATATTTTCACATATAAACCCTATTCCATCACTCAACATCTACTTATCATTTTTTATTTTCAATCGTAAATTTACAGTAAAACATGTTTGGCTTTTCGCTATAATTACTTAGCCACCACTTTAACATTTCAAAACATTGATTGCCTATCCCTATTTACCATTTCATGGCATATTACCTTAGCAACGGTTTTAATAAATAATTAGCAACAAGTTTAATATATAAAAGTATTTTATTCTTGGCTCTCTCAGTCACCATGTCATATAATTATAAAGAATAGCGAGCCTATTATAAAGAACAAAAGCCTCTATGAAACTAACCATAACCCTAGAAAATATATCAAAAACGTTGGCTGCAATGGTGCTTACAGAATTATTTATTATAATAATTTACAGATATTAAGACGTATAAATTACATCTTCAGTAACGTAATTATCAGTAAAACTTGCTGCATTTTCTCCAGACATAAAAATATATCGAAGACTTAAAAAAAATGTCTGCGAAACAAAGACGTCTTCTTTGAGAGAGAAGTATTTATCTTTGACAGGCATCTATAAAACAGGTCAATGATCTACGCCAATTCATGTCTATTACTCATAAAACGATCTGACAGAAATATTTCAGATTACATTTTTATGTAGGAAAAACAATGAATCGGTTATTAAATTTAAAGAGAGCCCTGTTACCCATTTTCTTTCTCGTAATCTATGTAAATGTCATGATTTTGTTTCCTATCACTTTATAAAACCCATTATATTAGCCGTTTAATCAATAGCATTTCTCAATCTTCAACATGTAAAATTGATTTCATCTTAAGAGAACATTTATAACATAAACCACTTCTGTATAAATTATAAGAAAAGACTTGTTCAGAAATAAAATTTGTTCACCAAGTCGGAAGTTTTAGTGTTCTGTGACCTACAAAGAATGAAACTGTGGGACTTTAATTACAGTTGGTTAAAAATAAAGGAAGTTTAAATAAGTCGATCAAACCATCAATTAAAGCTTTAGTTTCAGTGGTATTTAAGAAATTATTCTAAAATTGGCTCATAAATATCTTAAAGATGTTCATTTGAAACTTCTGAATTCAAAAGGGGGCTATATAATTAATGTAAAATGCATAGAAGCGAATGCCCCTTTATCATGTTATTCAAGTTTTGATAATGAAACAATTACCTGGACAGTCACATACTTTGAAGTAAATAAAGGGGTTGTAACTCTCACAAAGATCAAATCAGAGTTATCCAACTTTGTTCACTAAATGTTATTATATACACCACATTAACTGGCTCAAAAATACAAGTGTAAGAGTAGTAACCAAGACGATGTAAGAAAAGACCTATAAACATTTATGTAAGACAATATTTCAAAGTTTTATTTAGAACAGTTAAAATAATGACAAGTGTATAGACCACTGTAGAAAAATGTAAACAACCTTATAAGACATGTGTCAAACCTTATAAATATACAAAAACATTGTATTTATCATCCCAAACAGATTTTTGCAGGGGAAAAAAAACAACAACAATGAAAAGATTCAAATAGTGACAAAGCTGCGTCTGAAATTTAATTCCTCATATCTCGGAAATCATATCTGAATAAGCAAATAAATATAATTCAAACTGCATTTTCAAAAATTAAGTTTAAATATATCAAAACATAATCTGACATATTGCATTTACAACACCTCTCTTTGTTTATTTTCACTTCTCAGATAAGCTTTATCATTTTAACATTTCAAGATCATTTCGTAGGAAATAATTGATGGCCTGGAAATCTGCTATTTTTCAAGACTTCCTCTCTTTCTGTGTTTCTTGTCTTATTGAGTACTTTTCAGACTCAAGATTTCTTTTTGAAATTTCTGAACCGGATAACTGATTCTTTTTTCATAAATCAATAAATCACATTTTTCGTTTTGTCAGCTACTAGGGGGGCAAGTTTATCGTGATGTTTATAACAAAAATACTGCTGTATGCTTCTATACAGATGCAGAAAAAGACTCTGCCTTTATATCCGGACAAGCGTTCAATGAATTATATCAGCAAACCTCCAGATTCATGCTTATTTTTATATTCATGAAAATCTTGAAAATGTATCAAATAGTAAAATATTAAAAGCGAACAAAGAATGTATAACACTGCAAACAGCACTTTCAGTCCACATAGATAACCAAATAAAAATGTCAAAATATACACACAAAAAGCCAGAAATATATAGCGATAAATACTGTGTGAGATTTATTCATTCATTGCATGTAACATTTCAATTATTACTTGAATTGAATATAATTATATTTTAAATTATTTCTTAAAATCTTCGTAAATTTTTCTTCAGGTGAATTTTCCTGAATTTGTTTTTGGCTCATCTGAAGGCCTACAGCTTTAACTTACAAACATCGAATTAGAAAAAATTACCCTTTCTGTAACAGTAGTACTGTCTTCTTGGAAGTTCATGATAGCTTCTGATATCTTCACATCTATAGGGTCAACAACTGTCTCAATGTTGAAAGGACCTTCTAGCCGCTCTGCCACCAACTTCAGCGCTTCTGTAAATACATTATCACATTCTGAATTAACATTTTATACTTTACACTGTTTATCTGTTATCATATCAATTCCTTTTGTAACATAAAATTATCATAACCAGTAATTTAATATATTCCTATGATATATGAAACGTATACAACCAAAACTTCAACATATCCCTTTTGAAAAAGAGTTACCATTTACTATACATGTATCTAAATATTTTGTTTTGAAAAGTTAACATATCATTTTTTGAAATTTTAAAAACTTCCATTTAATATGGAAACCTTATATTATCAATAAACATATTTCCTTTTGAGAAGAAAACGATCAGTAACTTTATAATTTCCCTTTAACAAATACAAAACAGCGGGTAAAAATCATAAAGGGGAGTAACTGCCACAATAAATATCAAACTATCAAGTTCTTATGAGAAAATTTTTGTCATTCTGATACAAAGATCCCTCAGGGTATAGAAACAATAAGATACTATAGCTGATGACAATATAAACATAACATCTAGTCCCTGTGGAAATTAAACAGACAAATATATCATAGGAATAGCCTGTAGGAAATAAAGCAAGCATTTGATTTGTTCTCTTTCAGGGAATTGAAAGTAAATCAAATTGACATTATTTCAATCATAGTCTCTGGGATAAAATGTTCCCAGTCGAATGGTAATTTTCGGTAAATGACAGTAAGTAGACAATGAATATACAAAACAAACCCAGAAATAGCCAGATATTGGCTTGTGAATAAACAATTATAGTGTTTTTACTCAAGCTGAATATAATATTAATTATCATAGTGTAATTTGGAACAAGATGTCAAAGGCTTTAATTAACTGCTGAATCACTTTTATTTTCAATACATTTTTATTTTAAGGTTTTGGTTCTCTTTGCACCAGCACAATAGAGGTCAAACGGTGACTTTCGAGAAATACCTCAGGTGCCACTCCGTCCATTATTTCAGGCATGAGTTAAAGGACCATTGAGGTTCCGTACTTCCCCACACTTAAGTACAACAATGTCATAGGGCTGTCCTAGTTTCATTCTTATAATTTCCTTCTACAACTTTCTATTATTCAAACTACTAAATTGTTTTGGTTCAAGATATGGATAATTTTCATTAAGTTTTAGACAACTGCTAACAATACATTTTATTTCCTGCACTTTTGATATGAGCTCATGACCTTTATAAATGTTTTTGGCCTCTCCCATAGTTTTAATTCAAGGTTATAATTATTCTAAAAGGCCAATAACAACAATACGCATTTAGGGCGGAAGAACAGACTATTTTTTTTTACATACTTGAAAAAATCGTGCCTCTCGGAAAAATCTATTAAATAACCACTCACATAAGTATCAATTCATTCTTTGCCAACTTCCTTTCCCAGGAAAACAATATATCTAATGACATAAAGTAAAAGAAGGCTAATGTTCATATGGCTGTATAGATCACTTAGACTAATTTTGCTTCATTCTTTCACAACTACAATTCACCTAAAACTCATTTTTTTAATTTATTTTTCCGCCTATTATAAGTTCTATTATGTGATTCATCATTAGAAACCTTCCGGGGTATTTGAATTGATATTCAATGCAAAAAACAAAATGGTACTTGAATGAATATTGTTCTCTTTCCCATTGTTTAATTCTTTTTTTCCCACAACCATAATGTTTCATTACAATGATATTTGTCACTGTTAAACTGGTCCAAGAATGTTAAGATGGTATAAATCAAGCGCACTCATTCATATCACATGTATCATCAGAGCTGTGCTTGTGTTATTTTTTAAACAATCGCAATGATAATCAAACTTGATGAATTCCTATAATGACCATTTTAAGTTTATCAGGCCAATGGTGTAATGACATTCATAATTCTATAAATATCTAAGGGAAATGAGCTCATTTCTATTTTTTCTAAATCTTATATTATATTTAAGTAAGACATTAATTCAAAATGTTAATTTCAATATATATTTTTTAAGTTTGAACCAGGGCTGTATATCCTATTTCATTAAGTGTTGTACAACTGTTACATTTTATGTATACAATTAATAGAATCATTTTACACATTATTGAATATTTAATATTCATGCAAGCAACCATCTTAGAAAAATATAGGGCCTTTATTTAACTTTAGGTCTCTTAACAATAATGTAAGGTATTTAACCGTTACGAATCTAACACAGATGCCGTATTAAATATCGGACAAGAACAAAAACCGCAGACCGAAGCGGGACCCCTATCATCAAATTAAGGCTATCTTTGAGACTTCTTTTCATTCATTCGTAAAATATGAAACTGTAACAAAGTATCAACGACAAAGGATTTAAAGCTATCCTCTCCTAAAAAAGAAAAGGTAGAAGGGTACATATCAATTATCGCTAAATCTATTTACATGGGTGTCCCATAACCAAAATGGTGTCCCTATATAATACACAAATCACTGATGTACCAGTGATTATCTATAAAAGATGTCCTCAACTCTATTGTCCAAGATCAAGACTTTTCCGCTTGTTAAGAAAACACTTTGAATAACCCGTAAATGATCAACCAATGTGGTCTGCCTTTATTCATCTTAAATCTAACGCATAAAGGATATTCATAAACTTAAGATCAGTCATTTCTGTTAATAAGGTTTCAACTCGCAGTTCAAACTTGTTATTAGCACAAAGTTGTTCAAAAGTTACAACGATCTTAAATATTAAAATCTAAAGTTATGAAAAACCAAATAGCAATTGATTTTGTGGAAATTTCAGAAAAAACTATGGTGTGTACTTAATGCGAAAGTTATATTCCCTGAATAATAATAAAATAATTACATCAAACAGTGATTGTCAATATAAATCTTGATCCTAACTTGGAAGAAATTACCACCAGAATTATGTTGTCTGATCAATTAATTCATCATTGATCGTTCCATTTAGCAAAGACATTGTTGTTAGTTTGAACAAGTAGGCGGGAGAAGTAATCTCTCTTTTTCCCCCCAGTCCCACCTCCCAATGGTATAGTTATATCAACAAAACATCTGCCATACTGACATTTAAACAATTTCTTTGTTCTAATTTAGAAAAAAAATAAGTATAACAAATACAGTAATGTTTATTTTGTAATTTTGTTTCATAATTGCAATAACATGTTCTTGGGTTTTTTATATACCAAGTGCGCTTTTGTTAGCTGTTACTTCAATTTTTTTTTTCAAACTTATAACTTGGTTTTTGCCCACTTACTTTACAATGCAAAGGAAAATCTCATGGGATGGTGTCTTTGCCAAGCATATTTACTAACCAGACCATTTATTTCATTTTAGTTGAGACTGGAAGAAAACAGAAAACAACAGGGACTCGAATTAATCAATTATTTATCACCATTGTCCAGCTTGTTCATCCAAAATTGAGCTCTTAAATACAGCTTAGTTGTCCATTTATACGTCCAAATGTTTTTATCCCCGTTGCATTATCATAATGCAATATTAGCTAAAGCCGTCAACATCAGCAGGCGAGCATTTGTGGCGGACTTTTTGTAAATCTTGTCTGTCAAAACTGATAAATGAATGACGATCTAATTTGAATAAAAAAAGTATTGGTAAAACCATATGAAGATTAAGTTTCTTTACGGACAGGTAAAATTACAAGACTGAGCACTTAATACTGGATCGAATAATCTTTAAAAAAACATACCCTCGTACCATGTCACTGATTTGAATGGACCGGTTATTTACATTTCAATATCAACCCCTATATCTCCCGTATTATTTATATGTCTATTCTATTTGCAATACATCTATCGGAAACCTATGAAGAAGCCAATGAAGAGGTGGTCGTTTGGACCATAATATGTTGACATTATCATAAACAAGACGGCAATCTTGAACGGTGATCTAATCCTTGTCTACCAACAAGTTATTTATACAGTTTACCTAACCCTGCGACAGTTTTCATAATTTTTTATCTTTTTCCTACATCAATGTTAATGGCCTATATTTCATGTTTATAGTTTAATGGAATCCCAAATGAGACATTTGATATTGTGGTAATAAATATATGCTTCTCTCTTTTTAAAACCATTCCTTCTCTAAGTTTTCGTTCTTTAATAAAAAATGTTGGTATTAAAGTTTACGTGCAGGCCAGTTATGTTGCATATAATATATTAATCCAAAGCCAAGGTAAACTGACAAACAGATGCACAAAATTATCATTCATGGATTCCTAAATAAACTTTATCTCGTCACATGTGGAATCTATGATGCCACACCAGACTATACACCCATGTTCATTCTCCTTACTCAAGATAAATAAGCCTTAAAAACTTATTACACAGATTCAAACTCTTCAAAACCTATATATAATACCGTCAAAAACTGATTATCGATTCAAACTTTAAAAAACTCTGAAGGAAAAAGTGGAACCAAAATACAAGAAAAGAAACTTATCTTTCAAACACATAGCAACATGAATTAAACCATTTCTTCTAAAAGGAATTTCGATTTACATGTTAATTTTAGAATTTAATACAGATTTCGACTGTAAATGTGCCACAGGCTACCTATAAAACTCACAAGTTTGGATGGCAGAAGATGTACATTTCTCTTAGATTCTCTGACTTAAAGTGTACATTTTCTTTAGAGACTTCACACTTCCTTTATTTCTGCAGAAATTTTAAGTCGTAAAATTAGGACAAAGTTCTGGCATCCACGCCATTTCTCTACCTCATTACAGTTCTACCAGACGTGTATTTTGGAAAATATTTAGCAAAATTTTATACTACAACAGACAAGAAAAGAGAGAAAAATATGTTCAAAATAATTAAATGAAGGCAATATTTCGCCTCTGTTTGCACAAAACAATCTCATTTTCCACAGAATGTAATCAGCAATTTGAATGTCTAGAGCATGTTAAAATGTTATAACAAGTCTTTCTTAAGCTGTTATCAACATGATAGCTATATCTTTTTATGGCAAACTAATGCAGCATCTTTTATTAATATGCGTCTGCACAGATTCTTAAGGTCCA